GAGTATGGGACAAGGGGGCGGGACACAGGCCACGGGGAAGGCACTGGGATATGAAGTCGGTGGGTGGTGCTTTGTGTACGACCTGTCTTTCTGGCATTGACACGTAATCCAGCACCCCTACTTGAGTTTTGGGTAGCGGAGGAGGATGGAACATGGGATGGGGCGTGAAGCAAGCACAGATGGCAGGACAAGCGGCGGGATGTGGTGTGGGTGGGTGGTACATCGTGTACCGTTTGCTAGGCGCCGACGTGAGATCCCGCGCCCCAAGCCGAGTTTGGGGCAGCGGAGGAGGGCGGAACGCGGGGTGGGGCGCGAACTGAGCGCAGACGGCATGGGTTATAGGACATATTTTGAAATCGTAGGATAATCCTACCCGCTAAATCCCTCCTACCCCAACTGTTGTTACCCTAAGTCTACTGTAGTTTACCCTAACTTTACTGTAGTTTACCCTAACTTATTCTAATGATGCAGGCCTGCTGGATGGCCCTCTGTGATTCTTTGAACACCCCAGAGGCTGTCTGGCCTTCCAGGAAGCCTGCCGTGTGAGAACGAACGGTCAGAAAAATATTTCAGGCGGCGTGGAAGGAGCTGACGCACCTACAGCCATGCACAGGCAGCCAGGCAGCCCGCAGCGACAGTCGCGAGCTTGCTGGTGCATGTACGGGGCGCGTAGCCGCCCACACGGTCGTAGGTGACACAGCGTGGCCATCCAGGCAGCCCATGCTTGCTTGGGAGTGATAGAGCAGTCCCAGTACAAGCGCGGGCTTCCTGGAAGGCCACACTCACGAGAGGGAGTCAGAACGACGGCCATACACATAGACAAACATGAGGGACTTACCTCCATCAGTGTGGGCTGCTAGGAAGCCCACGCTGTCGGAGTCAAGGTCTATTAGTCAAAAGAAAGTAAGTTAGTAACTGATCACACTCACTGTGGGCTTCTAGGAATGCCACGCACACAGTGGGCCAACAGAGGACTCACGTACATCAGCGCGGGCTGCCAGGAAGCCCACGGCGACCGTGATGAGCTTGCTGGTACATGTATGGGGCGTAGCCGCCCCCGCGTGTCATAGGTGACACAGCACGGCCATCCAGGCAGCCCACGCTTGTTTGGGAGTAATGAACTAGTTACAGTACAAGCATGGGCTGCCTGGATGGCCACGCTCATGAAGGGGAGTCAGAACAACGCCAGGGGACTCACCTCCATCAGTGCGGGCGGCCAGGAAGCCCGCGCTATCAGAGTCAACACCTATTAGTCAAGAACAGGTAAGTGAGTACGTACATATGGTGCTACACTCACCATGGCCTTCCAGGAATGCCACGCGCGCAGTGGGCCCACAGAGAATACGTGTACATCAGCACGGGCTGCCAGGAAGCCCGTGCTGTCGGAGTCTACACCTGTTAGTCAAGCATGAGTAAGTCAGTACGTATTCTGTTGGTCCTACACTCACTGTGGCCTTCCAGGAAGCCCATGCATGCAAGCGCCACATATATTCAGTCCACCTACAGCATGGGCCGCGTGGAAGCCCACGACGAGCATACGTACGTCCCCCATTGTATAAAGTTTGTATACCCTACTTACCATACATTCTCATTCACAACGCGGGCTGCCTGGCCGGCCACGACGTGTGTCGACAAGCCGTAGGACTTACAGCCCTCCATTCAGTGGGCTTCCTGGCCGCCCATACGGTGGCTTAGCATTGAGACTCTCACTCGAAGACATCACCTCACGCTGGCCTCATCGTCGACTGAGTTATTCCACTTGATCTACGGCTCAAAAATTCCTCTTTTCTATGTTTTGTAGTCTTCATCTCACTGGGCCTCCGCGCCGCCCGTACTATGTATTGTAGTTAATATACTGTCGTTTATATGCATGATGAACGTACCTAAGTCATTCATCTGTGGGTGGGGGTGCTTGGCGCAGTCTACCTCGCATTTCCCTTCGTCCTACGCTCACGAATTGAATATTAGATCGCGTCTGGTGACTTGGTTAGGAAAACTCACGTCGTTCGATCCGGATCAAATTCCTCCACGTCGTGTACAGAGCGTACGCGATGCCAACGACGATCTGGGCGATATTGATAGCGTGCAAGATGTTCATGGTGGTGCTAAGCAGGTTCTGACGTATGTAAATGAGGCCTGCGCTTCACCACGGGCCGCCTGGAAGCCCACGCGGTGAGTACGTACTCCTCCCATCATACCGTACTCACTCGACTTCACTCACAGGGCGGGCTGCCTGGATGCCCATACGGCGCTCAAGTTCCCCTGGCAGTCTAGCGAATGTTCAGCAAATTGGATGTTCGTAGCTATGTAAAATACAACATGGGTAGTACATGCGTTGCAATACAAGATGTGAAGAAAGTAAGTACGTGATACAGCAGCAGCGAGATGAGTACAGCAGGGGGGGGGCATAACGACATGCGGGGCGGGGGGGGTCTACCATGGAAAAGTATCTGAAGGAGGTCCAAGTTAGCAGATGGCGCTGGAGGGGATGAAGTACTTACCGTCGACGCTAAAAATCCTGCGTTCGTCGGTGACATCCTCCAGCAGCATCACCTTGACGAGCATGCGCAAGGCCCCGTTCTCCAGCCCGCAATGGACGCGCTAGTCAAGTTAGTGGCAGGCGAACGTTAAAGGGACGAGCTACTTACCTTGACAGAGCCACCCACGTCGGTGGTCCACTTGTACTGCGCTCGTTCGTTTCGCGCGTAGACGGCCAGTTGCTGGCCGTGGACGACAACCTCGACGTCCTCGTGCTCGATGCCCGGGAGCTCAAGTTGGAAGGCGAGGGCCTTGCTGACATCCTTCGCCCAGATAGAGCTATATTGGTGTCAGATGAGCGGCGAACGCGTAATCGCGTACTTACGAAGGAGGGAGTACGACGGGCATACGCCCGAGTGGAATGGGCGAAGGACGGGGGGTCGGCGATGCTGGTACGTCGCAGTATGAAAGGGCGGGTGATGATGGTTGGACATGGATTGCCAATGGCGAATCGACGAGGAGGGGCGACGGCGATTGAATGCGGGTGGGCGCGGGAGTTGGCGAGTGTGGTACGCCAGACGGCCCTGGCGTTGGCGAATGGCGGGATGGTGGCGATAGGACGGGGGTGGGCCATTTCGCGGGAGTTGGCGAGCGTGGTACGCCAGACGGCCCTGGCGTTGGCGAATGGCGGGATGGTGGCGAGATGGCACGCAGGAGTAGGTCCTCCACGGCGCGGGAGGAAGCCTGCGATGACTTGAGCTGGTCGACCTCCTCCGTTTGGTGTCGAGTCGTCGCCGCAAGAGGGAGACGCGTAGCCTTCTCTGCCTTCTTGGGCTGGCGTGCACGATTGGGAAGGGCGCCCCGCCTTCTCATTTCGTCGCGGAAATATGATGCGAATCTCTGTAAATCAGTTAGTACACCCCATAAGATAGAACAGGCCACGCACCTTGTTCTGCCTGTCCGTCATGTCCCACTGGGACAGCCACTCCTCCCGAAAGTCCACCCAGAACCTCTTGCGCCCAAATTCATCGTCGATCGTGTCTTGGAAGGCGTCGGCCCTCGAGGTCATGAAGGCTAGCTGGGCTGGCGTGGCCCACGGTTCGTCTAATCGTTGTCGAGGTGGCATCGTTGTGGTGGAAGGGAGTAGAGATGGCGGAACGGAAGAGAGAGTGGCCAGTGCGCAGGCGCCAAAGCCCACAACCCTGAGTCACGTCATATTATGTGACCTGGACCCTGCGCCCCAGTCACGGTCTCCCTTCGCCACGGGCAGCTTGGAAGCCCACAATGTGAGTACACATGCAATGTATATAACATATAACGCGGGCTGCTTGGACGGCCACGTTCACGATGAGAGGTCCTGCTGGTGAAAACAGGTCAGCGCAACGGTCCAGGACTCTCCACGACGCGCCAGGAAGGCCGTGCATGCGATACGACTCACCTCCATCGGCGCGGGCTGCCAGGATGCCCACGAGAACCTGAATCAGTAAGTCAGTACGTACTCATGCGGCCTCACTCACAGTCGCCTTCCAGGAAGCCCGTGGACGCAGAGGAGTACAAAAATACTCCCCCAACATCCACACGGGCAGCCAGGACGCCCGCGCTCACGCTGGAGAGTCCTGTGAATGAATACAGGTAAGTCCACACGTCAATCTAGTTGTCGTGCACTCACTGTGGCCGGCGAGGAAGCCCATGCGTGCAGACGAATATGATACACGACCCCCACGCCAGCATGGGCTGCCAGGAGGGCCGTGTTGTCAATGGCAGCGCGTATCTGTCAAAGTACGTAAGTCAGTACATGTTCTATATGTACCACGCTCACGGTGGGCTGCTAGGCCGCCCACGCGCAGAGGCCAGACGATACGGGCGGCCTGCGTACATGTCGACACCAACGGCGGGATTCTTGGACGCCCACACGTGTACGCAGGCACTACGGGCGACACTGCGCTCACCACGGGCGGCCTGGAATGCCGAGACATATTCTGTGAACGTATAACGGTCAGTAAGTTCACGTTAACGCAACTAAGACTTACCATCACCAGCCAGGATGACCAGGCGTGCAGACGAAGTCGATACGGCGGACTTAGGATGCTGGGATGCCCACGCGGGTAGGGGGAGTACTGGGGCGGTCGACTGCGCGAGCATGGGCGGCCAAGAGGCCCGTGTTAATGGGACCTGTCAAGGTACGTACGTCAGTACGTGTTCAATATGTACCACACTCACGGCGGGCTGCTGGGACGCCCGCACATGCACGTAGACGATACACGGGATTCCTCGCCAACGCGGGCGGCCAGGAACCCCACGCCATACTCTGCGAACGAATGGCAGTCGCCTACGCCAGCTGCGTTGACGATGGCAGCATGTACGCATGTCAGTACATACCTACATACGACACTCACGGCGGGACACCCACACGAGTATGTAGACGAAATCATAGATATGTGAAAACAGTAAAAAGTAAAGTAAAAAAATGTACGCGAGAGTATGTATATAAAAGTACGAATGTATACGATATGCGAAACGACCTACTTGCGACCACGAGCACGACCACCGCGACCACGGCCTCGAGGAGGACGATGCGCCGGGAGGTTGACTCTCGGGACCACCTCTTCGTGCTGTGCCGTGGCAGACTCTGCCATTTGGACTTGGCGCGCGGCAAGGGGGCCGTCATCAGACGACTCAGACACTTCTGAGACGTTGTCCAGAAGGGACGCAAAGTCCTCTCCCTCGTCTGTGCCTGCGGGGCCAGGGATCTCCTGGATCTCGTCGTTGTCGTTGTCGTCGTTGTACAAGGGCATCTGCGAGGGCTCGCCCTCTTGCTTGACCATGGCGATGTCCTCGATGGTGTTCGCCTCGTCGGAGGAGCTGTGGTGTCCTCGGCGCGCCGTCTTCGATTGCCTGCGCTCCGTTCGCGGGGATAACTCTGGCGACGAGTTGGGCCTGTGCTTGGAGCCAGCCCTTGGGGGCGTCGTGGGGTTCGCCTGCGTCCAGGGCGGCCCAGTGAGTCCAGGCGCTGCGCGTAACGGATCGACGGCCGCAGACTTCGCCACCTTGGACTCTGCTGGACGCTTGGCGCGTTTTGTCGGATGGGAAGCCACGTCCACATCCATGGGAACGTCCATCGGCGGCGGAGAAGCCCGCTGAAGGGCGTGGTCGATCTCCATCGCATCTGCTTGTGATGCTGGCTGTGTGGCGACCCATCCTGCGGGCAGCTGCCTCTGCGATCCAGAGGGCCCGCTGAGCGCGCCTTCGTGAGGCGCGGGGCGCTGGGAAGGCCGTCCTACGTCTGCCGTCTCGAGACCCATCTGCGCCACGGGCTGCTGGGAAGGTGGTGGTACGTACGCGTTCACGGCTACGGGGGTCGTCTGCGCCATGGGCTTCTTGGAAGGCCGTCCCGCGCCTGGATTTGCTGGACCCGCCAGCAACATGGGCGGCCTGGAAGGTCGTGCTGCGTCTGCGTTGCGAGCTGACCCAGTCGACGCCTCGTCGATGTCCACATCCATCGCCCCCTTCGCCACCGCGGGCTGCCCAGAAGGCCGCGCAACGCTCCCAGACGAGCGGGCTGTCGACGAATGCGAGGTGGGCCGGTTTGGAATGCCCCCTCCAACCACGGGCGGCCAGGAAGGCCCTGCTGCGTGGCTGGGCGCGTTGGGAGTGCTCCCTCCAACTGCGGGCAGCCGGGAAGGTCCAGCTGCGTGGCTGGGTTCGTTGGGGGTGCTCGCCCCAACAGTGGGCGGCCGCGAAGGTCCAGCGGCGTCGTTGGGTTCGTTTTGCACACTCCCCTCTGCAGTGGGCGGCTCAGATGGTCCAGCGTCGTCGTCGTCGTGGACCTCTGCTGCGCTTTTCACCCTCCCTTTGGCCTTGGGTTTGGGTCGTGGCTTTGCAGCCGTCTGGCACTTCGTCGCTGGCTTTGGCTTTGGCTTTGCCTTGCCCTTCACTCGCTGCTCAGCTCCTTCGTCCGCACCCCCTGTCGCTGTCTGCTCCGCCGCCTGTTCCTCCTCCTCCACGGTGGGCGTCTTGGAAGCCCGTGAGATCGAGGGAGTCTGCGACCTCGATATCGACTCCAACCCCGCGTTCTTCGCCGCGCCTCTCGCAGTGCGGGTCTTAGGCAACGCCTTCTTCTTCTTCTTCTTGTCGTCGTCGTCCTCCTCTTGGTCGCTGTCGGAGACCGCATTCTTCTTCGATATGCCGTAGAAGACTTCCTCAAGCTTCTCGTTCTTCTCTTTCGAGAAGAGAGTGGCCAACATCTCGCCCTTCTCCCGCGCCATGGTGGACATGAGGACGTCCGTAGTGCCTAGGGCGACGAGGTGGTAGACGTGGACGGCGTTTTCTTGCGTGAGACGAGCAGCTCGTCCGATGATCTGCTCGGTGCCCACCTGCGACCATATCATGTCCTACATAGCTTAGTTACTTGATATATCAATGGACAATGAATAGAACGACTTACGAGCATAATGACGGTGTCTGCGCACGTCAAGTTCAGCCCAACGGCGCCGATAGACGAGAAGAGGAGCACTCGATGCTCAGCGGCGTCAGAGTGCACGAAGTCGTCGATGACTCGCTCTCGATCTTGCTTGTTCATGAGGCCGTTGAGCACGAGCACGCCGATTCCTTTCATTCGAAACACCTGTCCTATCTATATTATCCGACGGAATAGGCAGCTTATTCCGCTGACCTCCTCCGTTTGGGACACAACAACTTCACACACCTCCGTTAGGGTCTACTAATGGGTAATCAGCTTGTTGTGTCCGGCTTTTCTTGTCCCGTTGTCCCTCCACGCCCCCTTCTTCGTCGAGAATGTCGCTGAGCGTAGCGAAGCAACCGTCGCTCCCCAGCCCAGGGTTAGGTGACGAAATATGTCCGGGCATGTTAGGAGAGTATACTGATCAAATTCCTACGGAGATAGCTGCCCTCCTCCTTGTGCTATAGCCCAAATACCGTTTTGAGATGAGGAGAAGGGGGGCCCAAGTCTCAGAAAGTGGGCCCAAGCGGACACAACAACTTACCATCTCTAGGTATACCCCAAGGCTATATGGGAAGCCCTGTTGTGTCCGCTTGGGCCACTTCCTCATCATTCAGCAACTGGATTACTACCTGCAAAACCACTATACTGGCTACAAGGATGTGGGAATTGGGCCCAAGCGGACACAACAACCTCCCAGACCTCCCCATATATATCCCTCAGGATTGGGCACCTGTTGTGTCCACTTGGGCCCACTTGGGCCTGACCTGTAGAATTATCTTTGTGTTTTATTTAATGCGCCCCTGTTCCCCTTTTCCCCTGACCTGCCTATTCAGGCAGCTGAGTTTTCGCATTTTCTCACAGTTACAATACATCACAACTCCGACCTCATTACAAAATTAGTTTCTCACAGTCAGTAGCTCACATTAGGGACTTCAAATTTCGCTCTAGTGGCACTTTTTGTAATGAAACATGGTCAGAACCTGCTCCAATTGCTTAGGTATATAGAGGAATGTTGTTCAGAATAATAAAAGGCATAAGATACAAAAACTCCGAAGTAGTTAGGGCCATTTTAAGGCAGTCAAGAAGGGCAAAAATGCGAACTTGAGTAGCAAATAGTGAGCTACTGACTTAGGGATTGATTTTCATGGCTTGCTTGAGTGGACAAAGTTGTTCAGAATGTAAAAAAACATAAGTCCGATGTGTGGAGCAATCTGTAGCACCAGGTCTTCTCATTTAAATTCAGCAAAAATGCGAAGTACAGCCAGAAGGTGACTCCTAGCCCCCCTAGATCATGTGCTTACAGAAAACCTCTGAAGTATTCTGTAAGCACATGATCCAGGGGACTCAAGGGGCATTCCCACAAGCAAAATCCGCTCCAAGTGCCTTTTTTTATTCAACACAAGGTCAGGACTGGCTCTAATCTCTTAGGTATGTAGAGTAAAACTGTTTAGCATCATGAAAAACATAAAATACAAAAACTCCGGAGTAGTTATGGGCCTTTTAAGGCAATCAAACAGTGGAAAAATGCGATCTTCAGCAGCAAATAGTGGGATAGTCACTCAGGATTTGGTTTTCATGCCTTCCTTTAGCAGTACAGAGTGTTCAAACTGCGAATTTGCATATATCCCAGCATCATTGCAGCTTTTAGGGACCAGTTACAGGCTCAAAAATGCGAAGTTAGCAGGAAGAGGAAGCTGTACTGCCTCAGGAATTGTTTTTCAGGTCTTCCTATCTATATTATCCGACGGATTACAGGGTGTAATCGGTCGACCTCCTCCAAAGTGGACGCAACAACTTCACACACCTCCGTTAGGGTGTTCTGATGGAGAATCACCTTGTCGCGTCCACCTTTTCTTGTCCCGCCGTCCCTCCACACCCCCTTCTTCGTTGAGAATCTCGCTGAGCGTAGCGAAGCAACCGTCGCTCCCCAACCCAGGGTTAGGTGACGAAATATGTCCGGGCATGTTAGGAGAGTATACTGATCAAATTCCTACGGAGATATCTGCCCTCCTCCTCATGCTACAGCCCAAATACCGTTTCGGTACGAGGAGGAACAGGGCCCAAGTCGCAGGATGTGGGCCCAAGTGGACGCGACAAAATCCCATCTCTAGGTATACCTTCAGGCTATATGGGAAACCTTGTTGCGTCCACTTGGGCCACTTTCTCCTTGTTCAGCAGCTGCATTACTACCTGCAAAACCACTATACTGGTTCCATGGGTGTGGGAAATGGGCCCAAGTGGACGCAACAGCTCACCAAACCTCCCAATATATATTCCCTAGGACTGGGTCGTTGTTGCGTCCACTTGGGCCCACCTGGGCCTGACCTGTGGAATTATCTTTGTGTTTTATTTAATGTGCCCCTGTTCTCCTGTTCTCCTGACCTGCCTGTTCAGGCAGCTGAGTTTTCGCATTTTCTCACAGTCACAACTCATTACAAGTCCGACCTCATCACAAAATTAGTTTCTCACAGTCAGTAGCTCATATTAGGGACTTCAAATTCCGCTCTAATGACACTTTTTGTAATGAAACATGGTCAGAACCTGCTCCAATTGCTTAGGTATATAGGAGGATGTTGTTCAGAATAACAAAAAACATAAGATGCAAAAACTCCGAAGTAGTTAGGGCCATTTTATGGCAGTCAAGAAGGGCAAAAATGCGAACTTAAGTAGCAAATAGTGAGCTACTGACTTAGGGATTGATTTTCATGGCTTGCTTGAGTGGACAAAGTTGTTCAGAATGTAAAAAAACATAAGTCCGATGTGTGGAGCAATCTGTAGCACCAGGTCCTCTCATTTAAATTCAGCAAAAATGCGAAGTACAGCCAGAAGGTGACTCCTAGCCCCCCTAGATCATGTGCTTACAGAAAACCTCTGAAGTATTCTGTAAGCACATGATCCAGGGGACTCAAGGGGCATTCCCACCAGCAAAATCCGCTCCAAGTGCCTTTTTTTATTCAATACAAGGCCAGGACTGGCTCCAATCTCTTAGGTATGTAGAGTTAAGTTGTTTAGCATCATGAAAAACATAAAATACAAAAACTCCGGAGTAGTTATGGGCCTTTTAAGGCAATCAAACAGTGCAAAAATGCGATCTTCAGCAGCAAATAGTGGAATAGTCACTCAGGATTTGGTTGTCATGCCTTCCTTTAGCAGTACAGAGTGTTCAAAATGCGAATTTGCATATATCCCAACATCATTACAGCTTTTAGGGACCAGTTACAGGCTCAAAAATGCGAAGTTAGCAGGAAGAGGAAGCTGTACTGCCTCAGGAATTGTTTTTCAGGTCTTCTTTGAGGGAGGAAAGTTGTTCACAATGTAAAAAAACATGAGTCCACATTGTAGGACAATTTGTAGCAACAAGTATTGCTAGTTAAATTGAGCAAAAATGCGAAGTGCAGCCAGAAGGTGACTCCTAGCCCCCCTAGATCATGTGCTTACAGAAAACCTATCTATATTATCCGACGGATTACAGGGTGTAATCGGTCGACCTTCTCCGTTTGCGGCGCAACAACTTCACACACCTCCGTTAGGGTGTTCTGATGAAGAATCACCTTGTCGCGCCGAGTTGCGCCGCTTCCCCACGCTCCAGTGCCCCCTTCTTCGTCGAGAATCTCGCTGAGCGCAGCGAAGCAACCGTCGCTCCCCGACCCAGGGTTAGGTGACGAAATATGTCCGGGCATGTTAGGAGAGTATACTGATAAAATTCCTACGGAGATAGCTGCCCTCCTCCTCGTGCTGTAGCTCAAATACCGTTTCGGTACGAGGAGAAGAGGGTGCCAACGGCCAGGATGTTGGCGCGACTCGGCGCAACAAGTACCCATCTCTAGGTATACCCTCAAGGTATATGGGACAACTTGTTGCGCCGTGTTGCGCCGCTTCCTCATCATCCAGCAGCACGTTTACTACCTGCAAAACTACCATACTGGCCCCAGCCACTTCAAACAGTGGCGCAACTCGGCGCAACAGCTCCCCAAACCTCCCCATATATATCCCCCAGGACTGGGTCGTTGTTGCGCCGAGTTGCGCCACCATCTGAGGAAGCTGTGGAATTATCTTTGTGTTTTATTTAATGTGCCCCTGTTCCCTCTTTCCCCTGACCTGCCTATTCAGGCAGCTGAGTGTTCGCATTTTCTCACAGTTACAATACATCACAACTCCGACCTCACTACTAAATTAGTTTCTCACAGTCAGTAGCCCACATTAGGGACTTCAAATTCCGCTCTAATGACACTTTTTGTAATGAAACATGGTCAGAACCTGCTCCAATTGCTTAGGTATATAGAGGAATGTTGTTCAGAATAATAAAAAGCATAAGATGCAAAAGCTCCGAAGTAGTTAGGGCCATTTTAAGACAGTCAAAAGCTGGAAAAATGCGAACTTAAACAGCAAATACAGGGTTAGTGACTCAGGATTTGATTTTCATGACTTGCTTGAGGGTAGAAAAGTGTTCAGAATGCGAAATTACATGAGATACAATTGACAGTATATAGCTAGCATATTTGATGGACAAGCTACAGTCTCCAAAATGCGAAATTAGCAGGAAGAATGAGCTGTACTGCCTCAGGATTTGATTTACAGGTCTTGTTTGAGTGGACAAAGTTGTTCAGAATGTAAAGAAACATAAATCCGATGTGGGGGGCAATTTGTAGCAACAGGTATTGCTGTATAAATTGAGCAAAAATGCGAAGTACAGCCAGAAGGTGACTCCTAGCCCCCCTAGATCATGTGCTTACAGAAAACCTCTGAAGTATTCTGTAAGCACATGACCCAGGGGAGCTAGGGGACATTCCCACAGGCAAAGAACAACAAAATTCGCTCAGAGGGCCTTTTTTTTTGTGAGTACAAGGGCAGGACTTGTCCCAATTACTTAGGTATATAGAGGAAAGTTGCTCAGAATGATAAAATACATAAAATGCAAGAACTCCGAAGTAGTTAGGGCCATTTTAAAGCAGTCAAGAAGGGCAAAAATGCGAACTTAAGTAGCAAATAGTGGGCTACTGACTTAGGGATTGACTTTCATGACTTGCTTGAGTGACCAAAAGTGTTCAGAATGCGAAATTACATAGGATACAATTGACAGTATATACCTAGCATATTTTAAGGACAAGCTACAGTCTCCAAAATGCGAAATTAGCAGGAAGAATGAGCTGTACTGCCTCAGGATTTGATTTTCATGGCTTGCTTGAGTGGACAAAGTTGTTCAGAATGTAAAAGAACATGAATCCGATGTGGGGCACAATTTGTAGCAGCAGATATTGCCATTTAAATTGAGCAAAAATGCGAAGTACAGCCAGAAGGTGACTCCTAGCCCCCCTAGATCATGTGCTTACAGAAAACCTCTGAAGTATTCTGTAAGCACATGACCCAGGGGAGCTAGGGGACATTCCCACAGGCAAAGAACAA